GCTCAGTATTATTACAGTACTGAACAATTGCACTGGTACTGAAGATGGCCCTGTTCTTGTTTTTCGTCCATTAATGTTCTATAGAAGTGTTAAAATGCTTTAACCTCCACAGCAGCAAGCTAAGTCCGATATGGTAGAGGGTTGGGTTTTTAACCACTGATGATGTCAATCATGATATTCACATCAGCGATTATGTTCCTAATCTCACTCTCATATTCTCAAGAATGGAAAATTCTCATATCACTTCATAATTGTAGGTTTCCGGCCGTATAAAAGGGACTAGTGCCTTAGACAACATTGACATACCGTTAATAGAGTAGAATGTAAGGAAACAATTGTATATAAATGTCAATAGAAGAGTTTCTCAATAGAAGAGTATTGCAAAACTGGGCACCATCGAATACTAATTTGTTTTTGATAACATCATCTCTTCACATTCATAAGTTTCAATATCCATTGAAGTCTTCTATCCAGCTGAAGCAGGAGAAGAGATATCGGCCTCGTTACATTGTTCAATATAAAAAATGAAGAATATTCTCCTTCACTTTTTTTCAGTAGCAAGGAATCTTCCGTTTCGATGGCTTCAATTACTAACAGCACTGCAAGTACTTCATTTGGCGACCAAATTTCTCTACATTTATGGCAGTACCCGTCAGCAGGGTCAACGCAATGAGCGAAAGCAAAATACCGCTGTACATAACACTTTGGTATCAAGTACTGCAAAATTAAACATGTTATAGACATAGGAAATATAGGCTCGTACGATAACTAGATTACCTGGCAATGAATTCATACAATTCATACTGTACGGCCTCTCTGCCGCTTTTTCCTTCCTAACTGCCTGTAGATGTTTGGCGATAGCATAAAAGAACACCGACTCGTACAGTACCGGAAGTGCGACTCATGATTAACAGCAAATTGCTCTATTGAATAATACTAGTTGATAATGCCGATCTTCCTTCAATTTCATGATGGGGCCATTTTGCGTCCTTTCGTGAATTTGATTGTGCGGTGCTGGCCTCCGCTTCTATGTCATTATCTGGCAGTGCCTTATTCTTCTAAGGCAGAAACTACAGCAGCTCATGGCAAGCGCAGCGTGTAGTCTTCGGTTTGTTTACTATAGAGTGGTGTTCATTTATCAACCTTGGAAGGAAGAAGAGCGAGTGACCCGACCGGGGCTTGAACTCAGGACACATCGGTTCCGAGGTCGATGCTATACCAACTGAGCAACCCGGATCTGAAGTGATCTGTAGTTGACAAATTTCTAGCTCAACAGAATTCGTGAATAGGACAAAGATTTTCAATTTTCTTCAAGTGGAATTGAACCTCGCACCTTCGGTGTGAAGCAGTACAACTGACGAGTCAGGAGATTCTTTACTGCTGAGAATATACGAATGAGAATGGGCGCAGAATCAGCAAAACCTTTTCAATGATGGTTATATAAAGCTCGGTCGATAACTGTTTTTTTTTCAGCTGCATAAAAAATTCCTGTATCTGTGGAGGTTAGAACATATGAACGATCTCATCAAATTAGTACCGACTTAGAGTTTAGAGAGCACCTTCTTTATCAATGCAATATATAAGCAGGATAAAATTTTCAATTTGTACATAGCTGTTTCACGATAAGACGTAATCTTGCTTAGATAAACTTTTCATTCTTAATTCCGCATAAATATTTACTCTTAATCCTACTTCAACGTGATAGGAGGGTGACAAGGGGTTCTCAGGACGATGTACAGCTGAGTCTATAGACTTTGGCAGGTTAGTCCATGCGGCAAAAGCTTGAAAAATATATCCGGCCAACTGGAAGAGGATACGTTCTCCAACCCGCCTGGCCAGCGTGGTGAAATGACAACATACTCCAAAATCAAATCACAACTGAAAGCATGGCCTGCACTTCTTGGAGGCTGAATGACCACCGGCAGATGCAGCAGTTAGTCAAGCACGAAGGCAGATGGTGCTAAAGATATCCCGGTTACGGATCAGAACTTCCACAATTTGCTAACGTTGGCAAAGTAAGACCGCAAATCACTTATAGGCGAAGAAAGGCTCCAAGAACTGGAAGAACTGAGGAGGGACTCGAGTAGGGCATTGTTGGATTCAGGAAGTTCCACAAAAGGAGGGATTATTAGAGCATAACAGTGGACACATCTTGTTCTACAAAGTATCGGCATATAGAAGCACAGGGAGAGTATTGTTCAGTATCAGCAGATAATTAACGAACAATGTAATACCGGTGAACAACATTTCATAGCATCTTCACCAAAGGTCCGACTTAAACAGCTGATAGCGAGGATCAATAACGGTAATCTAGGTTTTTACCCGTGCGATAAACTTCTTCTTCGAAGAGTGCAGGGCGGTCACTAGAAGCAAGGGACGGTGACATAAAACCATGTATTTTCAGAGAATTGAGAATAAAGTAGAAAAAACTAATCATTTATCAGTTAGGAATACAGTAATATTGTCTTTAAAACGGAGGTAGTCTCTCTTGCAAAAATTCAGTTCAAAATTCGAGTTCCGGTAACGCCTCGAATAATTTATTATATACATATTCTTTAACGTTTTGGATCATCCATCTTCAAGAAGGGACACGCGTTAGAGAATCATACTGTCTAAACTGGACCTTATATTTGTTGGTTTCTGCATAAGCTATGCAGGTTATACTGGGTACAAATCATGTGCTTCTTGGAAAGTTATACTTTCATAATCGTTCGTTTTGGGCTGCGGGGCAGCTGCTTCAGGTGATTGCTCCTATGGCTATTTGGCTGTTTGCCAATCAAGTAACCACCATGGACTGCATTCCAATCGCAAGACAGCGTTTTTCCTATTTCTATTAGCAAACTGTGGCGCATGTGCACACTGTGAATTTTAAAATTTTGAAAACATTTAATACAGTAAAGAACTTTAGTGTGAATTTCATAAAGAAAATTGAGTTTATTCATCAATTTAGTCGGCAACTGTTCTGACATAAAGCAAGCTAAATCCGGATTAAAAACTCTTACGAAACCGCTGAGGAGAGTTCGTTTTCATTTCATGACTGAAGCATCGCTTTAAATTAGAAGTCGTCAGCTAAACGAACGTCTCACGGCACTGAATGCAAAGCGTCAGCGTTAGATGTCTACCAGCAGAAGCCAATGTATTCCATCACTTTGCGTTCATGCATGAGGCGAATACTGTTTCTCCACTGTAAGCCAACGAGACACACAACAATGTCACCATGAAATGCTGTCTCTCAATTCAGAATGCACACTCAACCTCTTTATTATCTCGTACGAGGTGAGGTAGAAGAACGAAGAAAGCACCGTAGACATCATTCTGGCAGACAGGCCCTTCGTGAACACATTCCATCGATCTTTCGTCCACAGATTAACGCATGTTTCCAGCCAACCGGTTCTTAAAACCTATAATAAGTTATAATAAATTATTACCATGTGGTCCAAAAACGTGACATGAACTTAGTATCTGAATATTTCGGTTTCTTCTTTGAAAACAGCTATTCATATTCTGGAAGAGTGAAATTTCTCTACCGCTTCAAGAAAATACATTATAAATGAGTAAAATGAAGAATAGGATAGACAGAAAGAGCAGAGAACATGGAGAGTGTAAGCTATAAGAAAAGAATGTACATATGCATGACAAAGATAAAATGGAAAAGAATCAACAGAAGACGCCAAAAAACTGTGCTATTTTGCGTTTACATTTACAGGCTAAATAACATATTCTAACATACCAATGTATATGCTGTTTCGCTAAGTAACGTGTAGGAGCTGGAAATATCACTGGTGATGAATAAGGAATGCTCTAGTCAATGAAATGATACAGTATGCATCTATGCATTGCAAATGATCAAACCGTAATACAACAACAGCTTACTTAAATGGCCCCTGCGTATGTGGGTTCAAGATGCCAAGAAACTGGGTGTTACAACCTTCAACAAATGGGTAGGTAGCTGCAGCACTCTTCTTCAAATCCTGCTCATTCCTAAGAAAGTCGCTTCGTACAGTTCAGTCACCTTGATCGCTTCATTAACTCTCTTTACTTAGCTTTGATGATCTCTTTTATCTGCTCTGAGGGGACTGATCACCGCAAGAGTGATCTCAGCATTCAGTTTACAAATCTTCTTCTGTACTTCCATCCGTTAGTGATATTTCAGTATCTTCCCTCAATTCTTAACATCAACGTTGCCATTCAGCTTGGTGTAGTATATCTGTGCCCACATTTTCGCTTTGTTTACCAACTTCACCTCTGGAAGATAAGCTGATAAGATTTCTTACTCGAGTTGCATTTGTAAC